ATGGGCGTATGTACAAAGTGCTGCCGACTCGGTGCTTACACTGGGGCCCTGTGTAAGCCAATCTGGCCACCATTTTAATCTCCAGTTGCTCTGCAGCGCTGCTGTGTGAAGTGCATTGTGGGAGATGAGCGTGGCAGCTGGAGGCAGCCGTCTGGCAAAGCAGTTGCGGAGTCGCTCTTGCTGCTGCCGGGTAAGCCCTTTGCGCCCCATGGACCGAGGAGGAGGTGCCTCAAACCTTGGACTCCCAAGCACCATCACCTCATGCAGCATGGCAGAAACACTCTGCACATGTTCAGGGCACTTTCTTATCCCTGTCTGAGCCCCGACTAGCAACCCAGACAAAAGAAGCCATGGGTTAAAACCATCTTAAAAGGCTGCGCTGCAGCGGTGAATGGCGTGTTTTCCAAAACTGCGAAATGGAGCCCTGGCCAGGACAGCGGGTGGCTTCCAATTCTAAATTGTAATTTTGTAGGTTGTGCAGGTTGTCCTTTGGTTATCTGGGCATCCTCTGCCATTCACAAGACTAGCTTGCACCAACTGCACGACACCCAAATTCCTCAACCCATTTGTCTTGGGGGCAAAGTCCAAGTGTTGTTGAAAAGTGGAGAGAGATTTGTTATTTTTGTCGCTGGGGCTTGCTTGGTTACAGCCTCAGACGAGATGTGGCAACAGCCCAGAATAAGCTGAGGAAGCTGGTCAGCTGCACACACAGAGCCTGGAGGGATTGCGTTTCCACCCTAGCAAGTCGAAACAGGATTTGGGGGAAAAAACAATAATCAAGAAATGTAAAGAAGGGATGGAATGCCGAGCTGTGGGTGGGTGGCAAGGTCCGAATTGCTGGCGTGTCGAGGCCTTGCCTGATCTGTCTTCCTCCTCCGTGTTTGTGGCCAGAGGTTCCTGCATTTTTTAAAATGTCTAAAGGATTTCAGAAAGGGGAAAGAGTCATGTGGTGGGGAGGGCAATGGTTGAACTTCCTTTTGAAGAAATAGCCCCTAAAAATCAAACACTTACATTACATTTGTTTTTTAAAAGAACATTTTGCTTTGTTGTCTCCACCAGTCCAGCAGGGATAAGAGGCCCAGGCTGCACAATCTGAGTCTGGATGTGTGTGTTGCACTTTTTTAGAAATGCAACGTAACAATTTTAACACGTTCCTTTCACATGGTGAGCTCTCTGCAGGCAGAAGGGTAGAGTATCAGGGAGAAGGCCTCGCTCAACACATCCTTCTTGTGCATCGCTTTACAACATGCAAGGGCTGTTGTCTTTTATAATCATGGGAGCCGGGGATATTCTGAAAACTAAAATGGTACCTATGTTGAATTCTGGATGACTGCCTTCTTCTGCAAGGTGTAGTTCGGCTTCAAGCTTTTCTCATCCCCTTTCTTATGTACGCTGGCGAACAAAAATGTTTCCCCCACTTTGGAGCTTCCCAGTGCAATGGTGGTACATATCTGACCACGTTAAAGCTGCCACGCTAATGCGTGAATAAGACATACTCTTGCTTTCGTACACGTTTTCTCACTAGGGGTATTCCCCTCCGAAATCAGTTTTGCCAACTGACAGGTTCTTTCGCTTGGCCAAAGCACCACTGAGTCCTGCAGAGGGCTGTAAATGTGCCGCGATGTATTGTATGCGCCTTCCCATTCAAGGTGGGGCCGGTGACCGTAGGTTGGAGGCCTCACCCTGGTCCCATGGAATGGAAAGCAGCCTAGTGCTGGGAAGAAAACCCTCGTCTCCGTCCTTTTGTTTTGCAAGCACTGCCACCTGATGGGCAGATCTAGGAATGCCGGCACATGTGCTCCACGGCGCGGCCTTCCAATTGCCACACCTGAGCGCTTCCTGCACACCTCTGACAGATTCAGTGAAAGGTTGCCCTGTCTCCACCGCACATGCCCCAGTGAGTGAGCACCAGCCCCCAAAACCTGCATGTTTTCTTCTCTCTGGCTAATGCCTGGAGTGCAGGCTATCAGTGGGCAATGCCTATCAGGTGCAATTCCTTCCCCTCAAACAGCCCAAATACAAAACAAAATGTTTTAATAAATAAATAAATAAATGAAAACCACACCACTGTAGCACTGCCAGGCAGAGGACTTTGTGTATCTGTTCTGCTTTCCTCTCCCATAGCAGATCTTTGGTTTCCAGATGAGTCACCCAAGGGAGCGTTATTGCTAATGTGCGGGCCGAAACTCTAACAAACAAACAAACAAAATATTGTCTCATCATCTTGCCCTAGTCACTGGATTTACCAGGGTTCCGCTCAACATCATCTTCCTTTATTTGTATTAATTTTGTGATTTCTCACTGCTCCTTCAGTTGTTTTTCTAGCTGCAGAAAATCTGTTAAGAGTTTCCACTTCCACAGTTTGGTAGGGCTAGGAGTCCTCCAAATGCTAACAAAGGTTCTGTGATAAGAAGAAGAAAGACAGAAGCAGCAATAAGTGTGGCTTAAAACTGCTCTGTGCTTCTTTGCACAAAGAGAAGGGCGCAACAGCCTCTACTATAGCTAAGCAGTAAGCAGAAATACCTATGAGCAGAAAAGTGTCCCACCCAGACTGTGCAGCCCAAATCAGGCCCACCCTATTGTTTTCTGGGAGCTCACTGAGAAAATATAGACATCTTATTGGGAAGGAACGATCAAGCCAGACCTCCAGTTGTAATTAGGGAAAACACCCAAACATCCATCAAATATGACTCCAGGGAAAACAACTACGGGACTTGGAGCTGCTTCAGGACTTGTGGATTTATTGCGGCATCAGCTTTCCTGGACTAGAACCCACAGAATCAGATGCATGGCTCTGATCCACAAAAGCATTTCTGTCAGAAATTCGTTTACTTTGGTGTGTGCACACTTGCACGTGCACGCACACACGCGGCTTTGTGCTTTAGCAATCCCAAAGCCGCTTGCAATTAATTGAGAAACAATAGATCATCATAAAAGCACAATAGCACTTAGACCAGTCCGTCGTTGGGAAGAAGTGGGGTCGCCCTGGGATAAAGGAGCTTAGGCTGAGTCTGGGGGTGCCGATACCCCGCAGACATGCTCACGGTGACCTGACAGGAAGGAGCAATTGTGGTCCTGAGCACCTTGATCAGCAGAAGGATGGCAATCCGACATCACTCCATCAGGCGGATGCTGCAAGCAGGAGGCACAGCTCCCCCTGCTGACCGTGAAATCTCTCTGGAGGAGGCATCGCCATTTCTTCTGCCCCCATTGCTCTGCCATCCCTTGCAATGGGGATTCTGGGCTTTGTTGGCAGCTTGGGCACCGGTTCTAGTTGCTTCACGCCAGCATCACCCCAAGTGGGGTGTAAAAGGTTGGAGCAGAGTAGGAGGGAAAGGCCTGGAGAATAATTCTAATTTTAAAATCTTTCTGCACCTCCATGATGCAGGTGGAAGGTGTGTACCAAACAAGGGCTCCAGCAGCATTGCCGAGACAGGGATGTGTGAATGAGCTCACCTGTGTAACTCCATGGGCTTCATTCTTCTGACGCCCTGACTGAATCCTCTGCCTATCCCTCCCTCCATTTATCATCTTATTTTTTTCCAGGGCATAAGAAATTTCACTAGCTCCCACTTTGCTTTCAAGCTACTCCTTAAATGATCAGGGGATGAACTGTTTGCGACTGCAGCATTTGAAAGAACCGTGTCTTCCCCACGAACTGCCTGCCAGCGCTTTCCTGATAATTCCCACATGCCAAGGCTGAGCCCCCCGGCACTAAATTGGGGGAACTGAGTGCAAGGAAGAAAAGCACCGGCCACCGTTTCCAGCTCAAAAGGACCCATCCCTCTGTCTTACCCCACAAGAATCTTTGCAGAATACAAACCCGCAAACCCCAGCAACTGGCTGCCACTGATTTTTCATTCCCCAACAGCCTTTCTGTACTGCCTCACCTACAGCCCTCTTTCCTCAATGCTTTCTGTGCTGCTCTTTTGGGTATGTACAGCACACAGACTCCAAGAATGGGTAAACTAGTTAAGCAATGGCTACTCTAAAAGCAGGTATGGGGAAGGTGATGCTCTCCAGACCTACAGCTCCCAGTGACCTTTACCTAGCCAAGGCCAATGGGGACGACAATGCATCTGCTGGCCAACAGTCTCCACCCTTCTGCACAAGGGTTAAGCTTTCCTTACAGAGGTTTCTCTTTAAGATGCACTTTGGAAAAATATGGCTGAGTTCCCCAGAGAAGGGGTAGGCAGTTCAAAAGCCTGCATACTGGCATAGGACTTTGCTCCATGAGGCATATATGGTGTGCTCATAGTTGTTTATGGGCTTTTTAGTCGGCTTCGCTTCGCTTTCTAACCAGCACTTTCAGCAATTTTGCTCTAGACCTGGAAAAATGTGGCATTTCATTGCAAAACTGAAACAAAGAGTTAAGTTCTCCTTGGGTGTTTGAGCGATTCTGTTATACCACAGTGCCATCTAGAGGTGAAGTAGTGGATAAGCAGGAAGAGACATACTTCTTACAGAATGCTTGGGTCTGAATTCTGCAAAGAAACCAAAAGTAGATGTATTGATTAACTGCCTTGTGTAGAAAAGTTGAAAGTCAGTCTTAAGATGTTGCACTGGCGATGTTGGAAGTGCCCTGCTTCTCTCACAGACTGTTTGTCCTCCAGGGCCCAGTTCTGTCTATCTTGACTAGGAATGGCTCTCTGGGATCTCTGAAAACAGGGTTTTCCACATTGCCTCTGCGTGATCCTTTTGAGCCTGGGGCATTTGCATGCAAAGCTATGCTCCGCCACTAATCTGCGGCCCATCCACCAGGTGTGTGTCTTTAGCATGGCCCACTTTTCTCCCTCCTGTTTTCTACCACAGAGCCAAACTAGAAGTGGCGTTGCCTGTGCAGGATTTGGCTTTAGTCCAAAGTGAGGGTCAGGTTTCGGATATCTTCAGCGTTTTCGCATTTGCTTCTTTCTGCCTTCCTTCCTTCCTTCCTTCCTTCCTTCCTTCCTTCCTTCCTTCCTTCCTTCTTGGTGGCTTGTCCAGTTGGCTTAGTAAGTCCTTCAACATTCATAGAACCCCCACAGGGAGCTGCCATCTTCCTTTGGCCAAAGAGAGCTGGTGTCATGGAGAAGCACTGCATCGGATGACTCTTCCGAAGAGGCCTGGAGCATCTTGGGAGGGAGTTCATTGGCCACGGTGGTCATAAAAGAAGAGAAAGGGTATGGGGAGGCAGAGGAGTAACCAGCGGCGTAGTGGGCGTCTTCAAGGGCAGGGAAAGGGTAGGACTGAGTTCCAGGGATGGGCAAGCTCCAGCTGGAACTTCTGTAGTGGGAAGGCTCCCCTGGCTCATGAGAGGAGAGGCAGCCGGGGGCAGAAGGCAGTTGCAAGGGCTCTGAACATTCATCCGCTTGGCCAAGGCTGTCGGTCATGGAGTGCTCCCAGGCGTCTCTCTGAGAGGAAGAACAAGAGAGTCCTCAAAGAGTTACAGGCAACCCCCCCTCCTGAATTATGGGTAACCACTCGGGCAGAGAGACCTGCTGTCTTCCCTGGATAGACTCTGTGCATGTGCTTCGCCTTCTCATTCTCTTGAGAAGCCTTTAAAACATGGGCCCCCTTCCTCAGGGGTCTCCCCTCTCCTCACGGTTGTTCCCAGCTGCTCTTGCTTCCCCTCCTCCTCCTCCTCATGGCTACCACTGGCTGGCCTGGCAGGCAGAGCTCCCGGGAGCAAGCAGGCTGCAGCGTCCCCTGCCCCAACACCCACCTTGCCCAGGCCAGGGCGAAAGGCAGGGGAGGAAGCAGGTTGCAGTGGGGAAGGAATGAGTCCAGGGAGCCTGGCTGGGCCCATGCTTCATGCTGCCCCATCCTCCAGGAGCAGCGGAACTACAGCCCTTAACTTATCTGACCGCAGATCCTGAGGTGGAGGGGCAGCCCTGCCACCATCCAGCATCCCAGAATGCATTGACTGCAATTCCTGCTGCCTTCATGGCAGCTGATGATGTGAAGACTTGTATCTGGAGGGGACCAGATTGGGGACGGCTATCCTAAGTTGCATATGGGGTACGCCTTGCCCAGAGGCCCCCGAAATCTGCAGCTGGCACTGTAGAGGGCCACAGGCTCCCCCACACCTGCCCCACGGCCTTCAGACCTCCTCGCCAATGTATCCCTGGGCAACCAGCTACCGGGCTTTGCACCTTACTTACTGCTGAAAAGTGAGCCGTGTCGCTCGGAAAGATGGGCGTGAGGGACAAGGTGCCGAAGAGAGAAGAGGAGCCAGAGGAAGCAGGTGCCGTGCGGTGGTTGACATACTGGTCCATGAAATGGGTGTCTAGGAGTGGCGGGTAGCTCTGGGCCACGGGTGAGTCGTATGGAAGTGGCTTTGCAATGAGGGAGGAGGGGTAGCCGTCGCCTGAGATCTGCTTATTGCTCTGGAAATCCGGCTCTGCCATTAGCGCTCTTCGAACCCCACCGTAGCCGGACACGGCAGCAGAACCTGTTAGCAATGGAGAAACGGAGACAGTCAGCCGTGCAGAAGGCCGAGGAGGGGACAAGCTGGCATGGAAACATCCACACGTCAGTGTCTGAGCAGCGATGATGAAAGCTTTGTCAATTAACAGCATGAAGTCTGGTCAATTTAGCCTGTGTGTGTGTAGAGGTAAAACAATATTTCTTATTCATATAATGATTTAATTCATTGTATACCTCCCAATAGCCGAGGCTTTCTGGGCAGTTAACAAAAGTTAAAATTAGAAGTTACACACACACACACACACACACACACACACACAGAGAGAGAGAGAGAGAGAGAGCGCGCCCAAATTAATTTAAAAGAACAAAACCATAACTGCAAATACAACTGCTATTATTCGGCACAGAAGCATGGCGGTGGTACAGAATAAATAACACCAATAACACAAAAACAAAGAAGGAAGGACCCCCCCCCTTTGATTGTGGATGATACCCACATATTTCAGAGAAGGCCTCATCTTAGAAGAGGCATCCCTTAGACTGAGGATGTTTCATTTAGGATGGTGCTTTCCTTCCGCATTCAAATGTACGAGCAATTCCACCAACAGCAGTAAAGAAACCAGATTTAGAATTCCCTTGGCAACTCTATCCATTTTAGCTTGGCTTTGTCCATTTTCGTTTGTTCGGTTCATATTCTTTTTGTGTACTTGTTCATGTTAAGAAAATAAAAAATTTCAAAAAAGGAAAAGAAAAGAAAAGAAAAGAAAAGAAACCAGTCTTTAAAGCTTGCCATATGCTAACACACCGCAGAGCAAGGAAGTAAAGGTCAGTCCGGAAGCTACTCCAGTGAATGTGGATTAACTAGGAGGAGCGGAAGCTGTCTTAAAATCAAAAGCATGGAGGAAAGTAGCTCTGAAAAGCTTTGATGTCACCTTGCTGTCTTTCAGCAGACCTGTACAATTATAACATCCATGGGACAGTAAGGTACATATAATGAGTAATATATATGTACATAAAATTATATGCATTTTTCTGATTTTATTATGATATACTAAGCATTGAAACCATCCTGAGATGATTTTGTGAAGGGCAGGATATAAATTCTTAATAAATAAAACGTGATACAAATCTTTTTTCATCTTCGACCTGCTGCTGGTTTTTATTTTTCTTGTTTTATAATGTGACTTTAAACCTTTCGGTTGCATTTTACCATGGTTGCATTTTGGAGTTTTAATTGTTGTGACCCACCCAGACCCACCTATTTCATCAAAAGAGAAATGTAATAAGCACACAAACAAAAATTTACATATATCACCAAATGTTATGTCTGAAAAAATAGGAAGCCAACATGGAAAACACTGGGATATAAGCAAGTTTGTGTGTGGATCCTTTGTAGAATGTAAAAATAAGGGATTCTGGGACCTAATGCAAGAGACATACCTGTTCACTCAACAATAAGCTTGCTGTGCGAAGATTTTTGCACATAGCCAATGGTCCAGGTTTTAATTATATATTAAAATCATTTAAATTTTGTGTGTGTGTGTGTGTGTGTGTTTGTTTTAAAAAAAGGACCAGCTTGTAACAAAACGTTTATGGAGTCTTTCATTATTTTATTTCAGAACTGCTGTGTTGATTAGAACTATTTGTAGTTCTCTGCTGTTTACTTTTCGACTGCTGTATACATCTGTACTTTTTTGCCGAATACACTTTGCCAAATAGCTTCCCGTTGCTTCTGCAGTGTTTCCAATCAGTTCTACCTGAGCCTAATTTATTTGCTGTAATCTGACTCCAGTTTTGTAATGGCCCATGCTTTACAGCTACAGCAAACTTGGCTGCAGTGTTTTACTATGCATACTCTTTGAACTGCTTTATTACTGAAATGTAGAACTGTAGAACATTTCAGTAGTTTGGCTTGACTGTTCTGGGGAGAGCTGGGTTCGAATCTCAACAGAGCTATGGCGCTCACAGGGCGACCGATTCCTCTGTCAGCGCTACCTCACAGCGTTGTCATAAAGAAAGTGGCAAAGGAGAGTGGTCACCCATTCATGCCATCCAGGGCTCCTTGGAGGAAGGGGAAGCGTCCAAATAAAAACAGAGCCACTCATTCCTCTGTTAAAATATATTTACCTGACATTGGGACGAAAGATGGCTGAGTCGTTGCAATGCTGCCCTGAAAGGAAAAACAGAACATCTTAAACATGAGACATTTCCCTCTCCAAGCTTGACTGGACTAGTCTTAATAATCCCAGGGAGATTAGGCTTTGTAATGAAAGGTAGTTAGATCAATGCCAGGCTTTGCTTTGACAGCTTTTTGGTTATTTATATTCCATCTTTCCACCCTGGGGATGCTTGCAAACCTGCCATGGCAGTGTAAATCAGAAGGAAACTGGACCATTTCACAGGATGGAGACAGCCGGGACCTCCAACCCAGGCCAGCGAACCTGCTGGAGGCTAACAATCCAACCTGCCCTCCAGCTATGCGTCTTCTGGGATCCTTAGCTGCTAATGACACTGCACAGAACTTTTCAGGTTACTTCCGCAGGAGGCGTTTATAGATCAATTCCATTACCCCAATCATTCATGAAATCTTACAGGGCCTCCAGACAAGCAGCGTCTTGTTACCCCCTGTCCCAGAACGTTTTTTCCACAAAAGAATCTGTTTTGAAAGAAAAAGATGAGATGCTGCACGGCGACTTTTGACTAGTTGTGGTAGGAGCTCTCCGTTAGGAAGTACCTTGATCATCCTAGAAACAGACTTCTTAGAATATACAGAGCGGAAGTATACCTACAGTATCCTAAGACTGGGAACCTTGCAGAAGATTTGGCTGCAGTGTTGACAGCCAGATACAGAGTTCTGCCTGGTTCCAATCTCAAGGGGGACAAATTTAGCCCCGGTGTGGTGCTGGCCAGCATCAAGCGATGGTGAAGGAGTTGGAGACCTTCACTTGAAACCAGCCAATCACTGTCTGCATTCTAAACCCCCTTCCTATTAAAAGCAAGATAACTGCAAGGGCTCCCATTGGTCTCCAGCCTGGTGTAGGAGAGAACAGCCGCCCCCAGTTTGCATATTGCAAACAGGAGTTTCCTGCCATGGCAAGCAACCAAATTTTGAGGTCTGGATTTGAATTAAAATTTGCCAGTGTCAAGACTTCCTTTTGGTCCACACAGCTGAGCTTCCGCCTGGGCATGTGCCGTTCCATGGAAATAAGCTCCAAGGCAGAAGCCATGCTTGAAAATAAAATGAAATAACAACGTGCACAACAAAGAGATGAAGGGGACTTGATGTTTTGTAAGCAGCTTGGTCAATCCCAGACATGATGTCTCTGAGGAACATAGGAAGCTCACCTAGCCTTCCCTATGGAGTTCTCCAGGTGTGTCAGACTGGCTAGGGGATGCAGGTGATTGTCTCTCAACACACCTGAAGAGCACCAGGTTGGAGAAGGATGCCTTGGTGCAATTTTCTAAATTCTTATCTTGCAAAAGAGAGGATTTTCTCTGTTCAGCAAACCTTAGTCCCAGTCCTAGCCAACTGTGTCCCCTTTTGGTCTGCAAGTTATCTGCTATGTGACCTCTTTGAACACAGGGCCCAAGACAGATACCTGGATTACTCAATGAGACTTATACCAATTTTGACTGCTGCTCAGTATTAAACCAAGTTATGGGAGCAATCCAAAGACAAAGCAGTAAACAAGTGAACAGTGGAGCACAAAGGTATCAGTCCAGCAGTGGATCTGGCTAAGGCAAGAGTGACCAAATACAAGCAAAACTCAAGACACAGGCAAGGAGAAAGATAGGAGAAAGAATCCAGAATCCAGTGTGAATCCACAACTGGGCAAGGCAGGAAAAACAAGAACACAAGGCACAAGGCACTGGAGCTGAAGGAACGGCATTGTTTTCAGCACAGGCTAGGTTAAAACTGAAGATGTGAGGCCCTCCTAAGCCCCAGCCAGGATTCATCTGTAACTCCTTCACCCTCTGGCATGAGTTCCACTCATGAGAAGCAATTTCCCTTCAAGGAGTCCTGCTTGGAAATCAAGCAGCTCTTCTCGAGGAAGTCCTGCTGGCTGCCAGGCAAGGCAGCCATGCTCCTGGGGGTCAGAGGTTTGCCCAGAACTCCCAGTCTTCTGATACTGGCTGGTTTAGGGTGCTCCTGATGGTTCAAAGTTCTAGCTCAATCTCTTAGGAAAGGTCCTCTGGTGGGGATAAGAAGGCACCCTACTATAGATCCGGCTTGCGGGAAATTAGCAAATACAAGTTCTTTCTGCCCAAATTCTTTCTGGAATGTTGCTGATGTCATCCATCCTCAGGCACCTGCAGACCTCAGAGACATTCAGAGACCTCTCAAGATAACACATCTGTGTTTGAACAACATGCCACTTGTGGGTACAGTTGGCACAAATTCACACACACAAAACCACAGCTTGAGACAACTGCAAGTCTGGTGTCTGGGTATGCTTGTTAGGGGCTCTTAAAAAATATGTAGGATAGAGAAATGTATTTTCTCCTCTTTATTTATTTTAAGTATTTGTATAGCATTCATCAACCAACGGCTCTCTGAAGCGGTTTGCAATACTTAAAAGATTTATGAAGCATTTAAAACAAAAGAAAACATTTACATAGAGACCAAATAAATAATTCCAACACTGAGTCCCGTAAGCCTGACACATAGACTCTGTCGATCTACATATTAAGCACACGTTAAATAAACCCAGGCTGACAGCAAACCAGAACAAAAACCATATAAAATACAACATGTGTATGAAAACTGGTCATTAAAATATTGGGAAAATAAAAAGGAGTTTGCCTTTGGAGAGATGATTTCATAAATAGGGTCCCACAACTGAAAAGGCCCTTCCCTTGGTTACCACCCACTTTATATATTTTTAATTATTGCAACTATATGCTTCCCGTAGCCCAAGAGCTCTCTGGGGGCTCACAAAGCATCTTGGAGAAGGGCCTCCAGTGATGATCTTGGTGCACAGGTAGACATACCTGGAAGGAGGTGTTCCTTCAGATATTCTCATTCCAAACTGTTCAGGGCTTTAAATGTTAGGGTCAAAAAGTAAAGTAAGGTAAAGGTTTCCCCTTGACATTAAGTCCAGTCATGCCTGACTCTAGGGGGCGGTGCTCATCTCCGTTTCCTGGCCGAGGGAGCCAGCGTTTGTCCGCAGACGGTCTCCGTGGGCGTGTGGCCGGCGTAACTGAACACCGAGGTGCACGGCACGCTGTTACCTGCCCACCGAAGTGGCACCTTTTTACCTACTTGCATTTGCATGCTTTCAAACTGCAAGGTTGGCAGGAGCTGGGACGGAGCAACGGGGGCTTACCCCGTTGTGCAGATTCGAACTGGCGACCTTTGGATCAACTAGCCCAGCAGCACAGCTGTTTAAACCACTGCGGCACCTGTAGTCCCTAAAATGTTAGGGTTAGCACCTTGAATTGGGTTCCGCTTCAAATGGTAACCAGTGTAAATAGCAGAGACCTGAGGTAAGATGTCCTTGCCTTCTGGTCCCCGTTAGTAGCTTGCTACCTTATTTTAAACCAATTGAAGTCTCCGAACCATTTTCAAGGCAGTTCCACACAGAGCAGCACATCACAATAGCCCAAATGAGAGGTTAGCAGCACATGGGTCACTGTTGTCAGGCTCCACCTGTCCAGGTAGGAAAGTGGTTGATGCATCAGCCAAGCTGATGGAAGGTGTTCCATGCTGCAGCATCTACCTGGGCTTCCAGAGATAACTCTGGATCTAGGAACATCCCCAAACTACAAACCCTGTCCTTTGGGGGGAGTGTGACCCCACCCAGAAAGGTTGAATGTCACCCCACTGGACAGGTGACCCCCACTACCGCCAACAGCACTGAGTCTTGCTTTCTTTGCCCTCATCCAGTCCATTATGCTGCCCAGACACTAGAGTGGCCACTGCCTCACCTGGATTAGATGAAAAACGTTAGAGTTGAGTGCCATCAGCATATTGAGGCCATTTCAGCCCAAATCTCTGGATGACCTCCGACCTAAAACCATCCCACCTGTCCGAACAGAATCAGTCTGACGGAATCAGACTGCCCTTGCTTTTCCAGAATGTTGCTGCACTGGTGCTAATTCAACTGAGTACTAATAGGCATCCATGCAAGTAATGCACACTCACACAAATGCATTCAAACAAATGAAAACCAGCCAGCAAATCCACAACACAGTCCGTGGCAAGATCCATGTGCTGATTCACAGAAATCCAGTGATTATGTTTAGAAGAAACATCACTTACACTAAGCCGAGAGCTGCTTGTCTGCCGCAAACGTTTTTCGGCTAGCAGATCCTTAACTGTGTGCTTTACCCGCACTCCTTGATAAACCCGTTTGCCATAGTCTGCAGAGACTAAACAAGGAGAGAAAGGGAGAGAACGAGGATGTCAAAAAGGGATGGAATTTCATGAACACCAAGCTTGAAAAGGAAAGATCTTCACAATCCCATGACTTAATCTCTCACTCATATAGGAAATGCATTGTGTAGACAGACCTTTAGACTTTTCTAAACAGTTCTCACAAAACTTTGTACACTTTTTCATTTCTCTTAAAACATGAACTTCTGTCTGCAGTGTTGCACCGTTGTGGCATTTTTGCTGCAATTTCTCCAATCTTAATGCACATAACATGTTATTCTCATTAATAGTCATGTTTTTGTGTGCACATTTCCCAAATACACTTATCTTCATAAGCAGCTTTGATTGGAGAACTCCAAAGCAAAAATTTTAGGATGTACACACTACAACGAATAGCTGAAGTCTGAATCATGCATTGATTTGAAAGTATGAAATTAAGGTCAGGTCACACTAAAATGTGAACTGAAAGAATTTCTTCCCTATCTGAAATATCGCTTGTGGTTTTGCTGTATTTTTAAACAAAAATGAATATGTAATAATGGTTTCTGAATGAGTAACCCTTGAGGGGGCAGTAGTAAATCGATGAATAAGTCACTTGAATTGGCTAAGAGCAGCGTCTTTTCTTGCCTGTAATTGCACAGCGTGGAAACAACGGCATGCGGACTCTACGACAAAAAGGTGTTTTTTCCACCCATGAAAATGCTAATTGCCCTCCTCTGGATTTTTCTGAGCAGTGCCCTTAAATATGCCATTTTGTCTGTAGGTTTTGCTTTTAAGTGCGCCCAGCCCTGTCCCAGCCAGCCTAAGATAATGAGGCGGCTTTCCTTTCGTTCCCTTCCTTGAGGTCAGCCCTGGAAAGACCATGCACCTGTGAAGACCAACATGTTGCTTTTAGTCAAATGTTGCAGACAGGAATTTGAAGTTCTATTTAATCCTTTCAAAACAAAAAAGAGGGGCGTTTCCTGAGCTAAAACAAACACGTATGCGTCACAATGTAATTCTTTGATCTTTTAAAATTTTGGTTTACTGTGCTAAATTTAGCCCATTTTGTGGCTTGCCATGTAAGTATTTGCTCTGCCTAAATTGCTATGGCAGTTTGGCTTTGTACAATGGGATGGTGGTGCTTCTGCAGGAGCTTTTTCCCTGCAAAGAATTAGATAAGTAGATGAAGACACTGCTGCCAACAACCATCAAGTTCCTAGCTCTGCCAGCATCTTTTGGGTGGCAGGTTGCTCTTGGAAAACAGCATTTCCAAAAATACCTGGTCTGTATTGAACTTTCACTTTAAAAACATGTTTTTTTGCTTCCAGTTTTTAAGGATTTCAGAAATAGTATTGTAAAATTAGACTTCACCAGCCAAGAGACTTGAGAAATCATGGATCTGCCAGAAGGTGAAGGTGACAGTAATTTGTAAACAGAACTACAAATTCTACTCCTTCCATCTGTAAATGATTGAGAGCAAGAGAGCTTTTGCTAGGCTACTATTCAGAGCAGACTTCTCTGCCCTGGTCCCTTCCAAATGTAGCTAGCTGAGGATACCAGGAATTATGGTCCAACACATCTTGGGTACAGGTTAGGGACACTGCTATATAGCATCACATGGGAAAATGTTGTTGTTCCTACCAGCCGTTGATTTCACTTTGACTTACTGTGATCCCATGAATGAATGCCATCCAAAGCATAGATAAAGACATATTTTAGCCCCTCTCTCAAAGTACTAGAATTCGGGGTTGTACATTGAAACTGATTGGCTATCAATTTAGGACAGATAAAATGACAGATAAAATACCTATATTGCCCAATAGCTAAAACTGTTTGGATGGTTCAGGACAATAAAAACCCTAAAATGCAACACAACAAAATATAATATTGCTCCGCTTGGAGAATCTTCGGACTAGTATAGCAGAATATAAGTTGAATGAATGAATGAAACAGAAGCTTAAATCTACACTATAAAATAAAAACACAAACCAAAATAAAACATAGCCATGAAGGATTGAGTGAACAACAGGAATTAATCACGATTGCTTTGACAGTTCAGTAAAGGCCATGGGATGTTCAGAGTCAGAGCCACAAGCCAATTGGGGAAGCCAGTTTGCTCAGATGCTTTTGGAGCAGTCGCCCAGTTTGTTGGCTGCAAACGCCCCCCCCCCTTTTCCGCTGCCTCTTCGACTTGGCAACCAATGTGGGATTCCCAGCCGTGTGTTCTGAGAATCTGGGAAACATAACATTTTGTCATGTTGCAGGCACCAGAGTAAATCACTGCTCTGATTATGTCCCAGTTTCACCTCTGAAAAAAATGTTTTAAATGTTTGAAAATAGTGTTCTGGCTCATTATCAAGGCATGCAGTTATGGAAGATGAATAATTTTGAAAATGCTTGAGTCACAGTAACATGATGCTGGTAATAACAATGATTTTTTTCCCTGGGGTACCACTAATCCAAATAAAGCAGGCTACGATACTGTTTCTTCCTTACTTTTTGAATTTACTATATTCTGTTGGGTTCAGCTTCCTCCCTTCAATTTTTGTGAACCATTCAAAGAGCTTTGGCTATTGGGTGGTACCAACATGAAATCAATGAGTTTGGAGCTGCAACTTTCTGCCATGAATGCAACTGTGTGAGCAAGTTGTACCTTCTTAAACGTTCCCAACACCCCACAGTCACCTGCCAAATGGCAAAATATGCTGATTTCATTTGTTTGGCAAAAGCCTGTCCTCACTATAAAAGCCACGAAGACGTCTGCTCTGTTTGAGAAGTACTGTCTTATGGTGTGTTATCAGTGGGTACCACAGAAGCTCCGACGCAGGTGTAATGGCAGGACACACACAGGATGGCTCCTTATAGTGCACATACGCGTATTCAGGTGCAGAAGCACTAGGTCCATCCAGCAGAGCCCCACTCAGAGTGCATTTGCTCTTTTGGTTAAAGACGATTGGAGAACATGTGAAAGAGCAGGCTGTGCACCACATGGCATTCGTGTGTAAGCCCCTGCATGCCTCGCACATGCTGAAGACTAGCTGCATCGTCCGTTAATGCAGAAATTAAATGCAGAGACTCTCCATGGAGAGAGCTGAACCCTGAAGATTGACAATACCAGCAGAGGACACATGTATCAGTTTAACAAGGTATCCTATAAAGCCTGACACAAGGACCTGCCATCAGAAAATACTGATTATCCTTGGGAAAGAAAGACCTTATGTTTAGCCAGCATGCTTCCAGACAAGGGTGTTATCGCTCAATTGCTTTGCCTAGTTCGTGGAATTTTACCTGGCATGGGGACAAGCAGGGACAGAATAATTTAGCTTCCATTTGTAATCCTCCCATGTCTTCCCACTTCTTTCAACCTTATTCCTTTCCATAAAGGAAGGGAAAGATGGGGATCGATGTACACCAGCTTCTGACTTGGGATGCTAGGAGTCTTCCATCGGGAAGCCCCCCTAATTCTGGAATCACCTTTGTCAGCTCAGCCACAAAATCTGTTAGGCGATGCAGCTCCAGGATTCAATGCTGTTTCACCCTGTTTCCCATTCATATCACAAAGATATCCTGAACTAGCATTATAGAAAGCCAGGGTGTTTTATTTATTAATTTTCATGTGCCCAGATGTTCCTAGCAAAGGTTTCTTCTGAGATTTATGTGTGCGTGCATACAAGTTTTTAAAGAAAGAACTAACAGGATCCTCTGACTGTAGATATCAGCTTGGTAATCTTTAGAACAACTTTGCAAGCAGATCAACAGGATTCTGATACTGCAGGTGAAGGCTGAGTAACTGCAGCTTGCTTTAGGCTGAAACCACATTTGCACTGAAACAACGTTTGAACTTGGGGCTTCACAGTCTTTTAGTTCCCAAGTTGTTAGTCTTGGAACTGACACGAAATACAATCAAGGTTCATTTTCTATTTTATGCTTTCCATCTACAATGTAATACAGCCATATGCTTCCATTGTTCAAAGAAGGCTTTTCCAGATAATTCTCACATACAGCATCCCAGCGGTACTTACCAGTTTCCATGGTCCCAGGTGACAAAGTACTCTTCTTTATTCAGCAGGATAATCAGTCTTCATGAATTTTCCATTTGAGACTGACAAACCTGCATAGGTCAAGCTCAATTTTGAGCCAGATGGAAATGTAGTTTTCCGCAATTTTAGGGGATTACTCCAAAATGACTCACCAGGGATTTGGATACATGCAAATCCTTTGATGTCTGTTTAGATGTAATTTGCATGGCCAGCGAGGAGCTTGCTGAAAGGGTTCTTTCAGTGGACCGAAAAGATACTTTGGAGGGGGCGATAAATAAATGGAGTGTTTATATATAAAATAAAAATTCATGCTATGTAATACTTTTAACTTCAAATTTCTCAAGTCTTTTAAGGTTACTCAGACGTGTTTGCCTGGGTTATCATAACAAAGCTTGTTGTAAACTGTCCCAAGACACCAGTAATGGGACGGTGTATAAACGCTTTAAATAAATAAAATAAAATAAAATAAATAAAAAGTGTTCGTAACCCAAAGGAAAGACCCTTTTAGCATTTTAGCATTGAATAACATCTTACAGTGCAACCCATGTATGTTTACTCAGATGGAGATGCTGAGTAAACATTTGAAGGGTCCTTCTCCTTGGTAAATGAACACCCTTCCAGCACAGCCTTATAAATGTCTACTCAGAAGTCCCATTGAGTTTCATGGGAGTAACTCCAAATAAAAATGGAACAAGGTTGCAGCTCTTCACACTTTGCCAACCAACTTTGCAGGACTAGTTAAAATATCATTCTAAAAAGTCCAGATAAATCTGAAGCCCAGTAACCCGTCCAATTTCTTGAAGCATCCCAATCAAACCAACAAGTAAAAGATACAGAATCACTTTTTCTGTATTTGTAACAATAAGAGCAGAATTTAATTTTCTGCATATTTTCAAATAATTAAGGGTCTTAGGTTTGTTTGTGTGAGCTAATTGTTGCTAAATAAGAGGGCTGTATCTGGATTTAGTCATGCCTACAACAGGCTAATTGAGTTCAGTGGGACTTCAGTTAGTTATGACTAACCTGCTCCATTGATTTCAATGGGAATGCTCTAAGCATAACTAAGCTGGCATTCAACCCACCCTCTTCAACATAAATGATCAACTTGACGCATAGTCCAATGGTTTGTGTTTATTCTTTTTCTTTCATAGTGAACTGCAGCTGCAAAAGGCTGGGATGGTACAAAGAACATGCTGTTTATACAAGTCCTGGTGTCATTTCCCTTTTCTGGCGTAGGACTCAATTACAGGGCAGTACATGACATACCATGTTGCAGAACAAAGCAAGATTTGTATACACTGTCAAATTTCAGTGAACACAATGTGAAAGCAAATTCTACTCCCAAGGGAATCCCTCAAATCCCTGGAACCAGCTAGAATTAGGAGTTTAGTCGCTTCTTGATCAGGTTGGAGCTCTTTGCAAGCAGTGAAAAAAATTCAGTTTCCCTAGAGATCAGTAACAATATCTGAGTTTAACAAAGCATCCTAAGGAAGACTATCAACTTGTTCAATCATCTTAAGCCATTGTTAACTTAGCAGTCTTGGAATCATGGGTGTGATAAATAGGGAAATGATGCTTTCAATCCTCCTTCAATGATACTGTTTTCATTTTCTGTGTGACAACAAATCTGAGAGATGGTTCACAGCAAAACCAATAAGTGTGTGGCCAGGGGCTTAGGATAACCCTGCCCTGTAGATGCCCAGGGTAACTCAACTCTAGAATAAACTCCACCAATTCCTGCTGCCACCACTAGATGCTGATTGGTGTTTGATGCAAATATTTAGAAGTCTGTGCTGTGCATAGCAGGTCCACTTGGATATTATGCCTATGCATTACTTCCTCTGTTGTTGGTTGCTCAGCATTACAGTCTCTTGATTGCAGATGCATTCCAGAAGTTTTTATTCATAGATTGTCTTGGCCTTAAGAAGATTTTTTTCAAAAGCCCTGCTGGATCAGATTAATGTTCTATCTAGCACTTTGCTGTGCACAATGACCAGTGAGATGCTGAAGACATCTAAAGTACTTTTCAAACAAAGTAGTGTACAATGTCTAAGTAAAACATAATATAGAAAACAATTAATTCGTTAAAAATGCACATCTTAAAATAAGCAGCTAAACTGAACATCACAGTTCAGTCTAGGGGAGCAATGAATAAAACATCGATTGAAATTTAATCTCGTGGCTGTGAATCCCATAGATTAAGTACAAGTTCTATTAAAAATTTCCTCCTTCTGTCTATTCAAAATCTCCCACTAGACAGTGCTGGGATCTGGGGGGGGGGGTTCCTCTCTCCTATTTATAGTCTTTTCCTAATTATATTTGCTTTCGCTCATCATCATCATCATCATCATCATCATCATCATCATCATCATCATCATCCCTACTAAGAACTTCAATACACCGCGGAATCATTCGATGAGGAAGACGTGTTCCCAGCCGGACCAAATACCGCGACACTCTCTTCATGTTTTGATAGCCTAACTAGCCCGCCTCTCCTGCGACGCGGTTGGCTGTCCAGACGGTCCCTAGCGCTATAGTTGGCTGAGGGATGCCATTCATCCGGTTTACCAGGTCGGGGAAGTTACCTTCGTGCTGGAAGTGGCGGGGGGGGGGGAAAGCTGGCGGTAACTATGGAAACGGGGCCTAGTGTCAGCCCCCGAGCCACGGTTCGAGGCCCGAAAGCTTTCTTTATTCTTGGCGCTGCCGCCGCTGAGCTCCCAGGTGGGAGGAAGCGGGGGCCGCCTTGCTAGCTCCTGCTTCATCCTACTCGAAGCCCCGGGTGGGGGCGCGTCGCTAGGCACGGGCAAGCAGAAGGGGGCAGTGAGGAGGACAGGCTTCATATATGGCAGGGCCGCCTTGGCCTTCAGGGGCACTTTGAACTGAGAAAGGTAAGGGGCTATGCCGCGGAACACCCCTTTTTCGTCCTTCTACTGAAATGTAGGCCTATGCTTTTATTTGTAGCCCTTCCTATCCTTTGGTCTCAAGGCAGGCTGCAGCAGCTTCATCATCATCCATGGATTAGATTAAATGGCTTGCAATTTAAGTACTTTCTGGTTTGGTTTCCCTTCACCGTCAAGGGAAGTGAATACGTGGAGTTGAAACCAGGTTGATTGTGCCAGAGTTGAACCATGAAACGGGGGGCCTCGTGGACTCACTTGCTAGCTGAAGACTGGGGGATTATTACAGTAACTAACTTAACTAAGTTTGCTGGGGTTAATGAGATAACTAATCTGAAACGCTCTGCTCTTGAGCACATGGTGTCAGGTATTATTTATGATTGTATTTAAACTTGTTGTCAGTGCTTATGTATGACCTGCTTTGTGAGGCTCATCCGAAAAAGGGCACCTAAGTACCTTAAATAAAGGAATAGATTGTCTTGATTTTTCTGTAACGTCTCATTTTACACTGGGTCATGACTCATGCAATCCTATGCATGACTTTTCAGAAGTAACCCCTATTGAGTTCAGTGGGACTTTCTATGTGTAGACATAATATAAAAAATGCATTAAGTATGGATTCCTGTTTTGCCTAGTGCTTGGATTTCACTACTAAGCTTTTCCGTTTTAAAGCAAACAAAAAATTAGTAGCTGTTTGAACTAGAATGGCAAATATTAATTTAAAAAAGAAATATTAAATTTGAAATTATGATTCTATGCAGAGGTCACAACTTCAAAAGGACTGCAAGGAATGTTTCTTGCAATCCTTTATAAATTAAAAATTTAAGCAGGGCCAGAAATGGGCCCTACACCCCAGACCATAAATTTACATGCAGCTCTGGGAATCACATCTCAAATGCATGGGAAGTTGGGAATGAGGGAATACAGGAAAGGTAAAGTTTTCCAAGTGCTTTTCTAAAACCAGGTTACTAAGAGCCTTGCCATAAAATCCCAAGGAATAATGCTGGTTGGGAAGCATGGAGGAAAGGGGGAATCATCACTTTATCCTGCTGGGCCTTTTGTTTTAATCTCCGTTGAGTTAATTTTTATTGTGATATAGGCTAACAGGAAGGCTTCCATTCTTTTTCTGGGAATGTCAGTGGGATTGTTTCTGTTCTGTCTTCTTCCTCCAGCACTCTTACCATGCCTCCTGGGAAGGTAGGCAGTAAGGAAACCTTGGTTCTGCAGTGTGAATGGGAGATGTGCAGCTTTGTGGCCTCGAAGATGGAGGAGTTCTGCGAACATGTGTCGAAGCACCTGCAGCAGCATCTCCGCAGCAAAGATGAAGATGATGAAGTGGATTCTCTTGGTAAGCGGCAGAGGGTGCAGTTAAAAAAAATATGCAAGCAGTCCTGAAGTGGCTTTTAATATAAGTTACTGCATTACTCTCTGAAAATCAATTTTTGTGCACACATTCCAGATTTTCTACCCCTTTCTTCCCAAAATGATTGCACTGAGTTTCTTGATTGGATTAATAGAAAATAATTCATTAGAACCAATGGGGAACCTGAGTTGCCTCAGTGTTTCCCAAACTGGAAAACAGGCTGTCTAGTTTGATGTTGGGCAAAGCTGTATGGAGTGCAGCGGTTTTGCTTCTGTTAGGGCAATAGCCCTATAAGCAATTGGGATTTGTCAAAGTGTGGCTGTGATCAAATAGGACTACAAAGGATGAATTTAAGGGATTTCAATGTTATGGTCCACTTACCTTGGTGATGAATTTAATTAGCCTCTGAGGAATATAAGTTCCTGGCATGGCAGAACTTAAACAGTACAGGAGTTAGGACAATTTACCAAGTATGGCTTTTTGATGAGTAGTGAACAAGCTCAGATTAGCTCAGAAAAGGGGGCACAACTGATAGTTTGAGAAGCATGGAATTACACCTTTTTTAAATGAAAGCATTTAAACAGTCTTAAGTGGGAGGAATCTATGCTTTACAGAAGACAGACAAATTTTTGTGTCTGTGTGTTCCATTCCCAGCGACGGAAGAGAGTATCTGTTCAAAGTTCTTTTAGTTCGTGCATCCATGCCTCAGCTCTGCCAACTTCCATCTACTTG